CGGCGTTGATGTCGAGCAGCGCCGTCAAGCTCTACCTCCTCCGGACCAACGTCGCCGCGAAGAAGAGGAACACCGACCTGGCTTTCCTGCTGGGCGGGGCAGACATGCTCCAGAGCACCGACGAGGCGTTCAAGGCGTGGTACTTGGCCCATGTTGGCCTCATCCTGAACCAGCTTCCCTCGATGACGCCGCCCACAACCATGACGATGCCGCCCACGCCCACGCACACGCCGACGCCGTCGTCAAGCCCGAGCGATGATGCTGCCGAGACTGCCTGCAGCACATAAGCCACGCCGACGCCGCCAAGCACGGAGACCCCGTCAAGCCCACGCACGCCGTCTCCGCCGACGCCGGAGGCCGACCTCGCCGCCTGATACGCGCTTCCGTCCTTTTCTGTTTTTTGTACACGGAACTTTGCATCCGATCGACGAGACCTGCTTGATCGCCGGATTGTGGCATCTATTTTGTGCGCAGGAATGACTACGTTTGAATTTGGCGTGGCTGGGGGGCGGCGCCTGGGGGCGTGGATGGGAGCTAGGCCGCCCCCAGGGGCCGAACTAGCGCCTGCTCGCCCCCAGGCCGCAGTTTCTCGGCGCCCTGGGGGGCCGAACGGCTGGAGATACTCTTAGGATGCGACCTACTTGAGATAAAAAAACCCATTTTCTCCATTGGCTTTTCTGTTTTTGTTTTTATACTGGTTTCCTTTGTTAAATTGACAAATAAAAATTAGAAGAAAACTGATGAGAAAATAATAAAAACCAGGGAAAAAAAGAAATTTGAAAACCCAAAAACCAATGAAAAAACAGAGATGGCCAAAGAAATTAAAAAAGAAAAATATAAAACGGACAGAGGGAAAAGGGCCGGCCTGGAACCCGAAAGCCCGGCATCCGTGCCGGGCCCGGGCTCCATTTTCTGACCTGAAGCCCGACCTGAAAGCCCAAAATGCCCATAAATTTATATTTTATTCGGAATATAGGTATAGTTTATTATTTTAGTTACCTGAATATTTTTATTTTAATTGAGAAATGTTGTCACTGTTCTTATGCTTCAGGCCGGGCCGGGCCAGGCCAGGGCTTGGGATTTTCACTTCAGGCTTTTAGGAGCCTGACTCGAAACCCGGCCTGACCCGAGGAACGATCAGGTCTAGTTTACACTCATCACGGTCTTGTGAGGGCGACTTAGAGTGGGCCTCCCAGCGCACCAAAGCCCGTATATCATGGACAAATATCCCTTGTCTCCCCTTTGCTCTCTTCTTGTCATGGACAGCCGCGCCGCGAGCCTGCCGCCGGCGATTACCCACCCCTGGCGGCCGCGGAGAGCACCGAAGAATCACGGTGGCTCGCAACCTAACGATGCTGGCCCTGACAGCGGGATTTAATGGTGCCACTGTGGTGGTGTGCAGGACTTGCTCATTAGCCTGCAGATGCTGGCCCTGAAGAGGGCGGAGACCGCCGGCCTTTCCCACCTCGCGGACGCGTTCGATCTACAGTCCTACACACCCTGTGGGCTCTCGGTACTGCTGCTATTGTTACTCTGTTAGGCTAGTTATAGTGGGGAGTAACTTAGACTAGTAACATACATATGTTATTAGTCTATGTTACTACCTTCATAGTAGGGAGTAATATATATGTGGTATCATACAAGTCTACATTTATTAAGATGTAGACTAATTTTGCATTGGGATGTGTTATGTTACAGTAACATATTATGTTACTTTAACCATCTCTCTCATTAAATACATGCCATGTAAGCAAACTTTTCTTGAGGTGTGTTATGTTACTTGCTAAGTTACTCCCACTATGAGCAGCCTTACTGCTCCTGTGGCCATGTCCTAGGACATTTAGCTGTTCCTGTCATTGTCCATACTCTGAATCTGAGTGCATAATGGACAGGTTTCGAGCAAAATTATGAATTCATGGCATAGGACAATGTTGCCAACCGAATTAGAGCTGCCGCTTCACACAGTTCGAAATGGTCGAAGCATATTCAAAACCAAAATTTGTTAGTTATTCAGTCTTTGGCTTGACTGCATAAAAAACATATTGTCAGTCTTACCTCGTCTGCATTGTTGCTTGGGAAATCTGCACTTTGTGAATACTAGCCATTTGATCAATGTCTCTTCGCATCACATTTATGGTGCAATCTCTTTGCTAAACAACATGCTTATGCTTGTGCTTTGCTTTCCTGGTACTGTTTTGTTGCAAGATTTCAAAGAACGATTAATAGAAACCTCGCTTGATGAGACCTCTCCCCTGCTTCCCTGCAGTAATTGCGTCACCCAGGCCGTGCATCTCGTCAAGATCGAGTGCGGGGCAAGTCTGCGGCCAGGTAATCTAAAGATACTCTTCGCTCCCCTGTCATTATGCTATCAAATCAACCGCCGATTTGTGTAAGGGAAATCAAAACAGTTAAGGCAATTTTAATGCAGAGACAGTTGATGTGAGTCAGGTCAAGTGATTGTTCATTGACCATGAGAAAAGGTAAAGAACACGCCACAAATACGGCGCTAACATAATACTCTTGTAATTGGGCCGCTTAATAGTTCAGAAAACAAATAAACGCGTACACAGACAGGCCAGTCAAGATGAGGAAACATTTTTACTAGGGATGGAGGCAAACAGGTACACAAGTTCAACTGAGAGAGGTACATAACGAGACTTAATAAATTCCTTGGGAATTAGGAAATATTTCCCGTCCTTGCAAGGACGGTGTGCTATCGCTGGGGACGCGTCCCTTTGACCTGCACAAAATGTACAAACACGAAAAAATAGGTTAGTTGAGCGTGAGTCATAAAGTTGATCCTGCACTAATTAACATTTATTCACAGATAGAAGCAAACAAATAATATTGATTGATTTGCTGCGGTACAGTTTATAACTGTATATACAGTTTAAGATAAATGAACAAACATGCTGAGCATTAAACGACGACAAACTGCCTTCATATTTCGAACTAATTTACATGTGCGGACAGACAGACATGAGCATATATAGTTTGTGGCAACGAAATTGGAAGACGAGCAAGATCGATGGAAAATAATTTAGCTAAGCTTAAGTTGTGTACAACATACCTCACATCCTTTCTGGAGCAGCTCCTTTAGTGCGCTGTCATTCTTCAGAAATAGGGCATCTTGGCCAATGTCACGTGACTGAGGTACGAAAGGTCTAGCAATTCCTCGCAAACCTTGATCATCTTCTCGCACTTCCAAAGTGTCAGGATAAATAGTTTAGACATTGTCCCTTCCTCCGTCCTCCACTCCTCGGCAGAAAACCTGTGAAGTTCCAACTCTTGCAGCTGAGGAAACCCTTGTGCAGAGCAGGACATAGTTTTGCCTTCATACCCCTCTAATTTTAGCACCACAAGACATGGAAGCTTCTCTAGGATCGGCATTGGGTCTTGTCTAATGACATCGGCATATAGAACAAGACGCCGTACACTTTGTGGGAACTCATGAGGCAACTTATCAAGCACACCTAATTGGCCAAGTGTAATATCAACAAGGTGAGGCATGTTTGCAAATAGGCTAAACGCCTCGGTGGGCATGGGGAATATCATCAAGAATAAGGTTGTTAGTTGATTCATCTGGCCCAGGAAAATAACCATGTCATGAAAGCACAATTTAGTGCCAACATGTGAAATACCCAAAAACAAGGTCTGGAGCTCTTTGTGATTCAGCCGGACACTCTTTGCAGGTGGTGGTGGTGGTGAAAACCCATCATCAAGGTATACATTCCTTAGACTGGGGATATCCCAGAGGGACTTTGGTACTTGCGATTCCAAGTATGAGTCCCTTAGATCTATAGTCTGCAAGTATAAGAGCTGGCCTATTGAGGAAGGTAGAACCACACCTCCACAGTTCCCCAACCTAAGATATCTTAGGTGAATGCAGCCACTGATCACTGTACAGAAATCTTTCAATGTTGACTTTTCAATGCTAAGAACTCTCAGGAGCCTCAGTTTAGGAACGGATGCTGATTGAAGTTCAAAGCCCAGCAAAGTTCGGATATTAGTCGTCCCGGGTAAAATCTCATTACTCAAACTCTGGAAACTAGAGCGATAGGAAACCAAGTTATTTGATGATGCCGGCTCGCCAACTTGGCCTGCATTTATGTAGAGTGCTCCACATGTCAGAAAGAAGCTAGCCACATATAAGGACATATACTAAAATAGAAAATTGAACTATATAGCAAGAGAGCAGGAGATGAAGCCTGACCCGTAGTTTCGTTCTTCACATCAAGAAAACCATCTTGCCTTGCTTCTTCTGCACACCAGTCATGTAAGATATCATGAATCTTTATAATGTCAATACATCCATGTGCCCTGCTTCTTTCTATAACTTCTACCAAGCTTCTCTGGGCCAACTCGGCTACATACATTTCCGCTGTTTCTTCTAGCTTATGGTTTGGTATCTTAGGAATGAAGCCTTCTGCTATCCATAATTCTATAAGTCTTGGCACATCTATTATGTAATCCTTGGGATAAGAAGCAATATAGAGGAAACAAGACCTTAAATAATGATTTGGCAGGTCCTTGTAACTCCGGGCCACAATGTTCTGCACCATCTGCCCATTTCTGGTCGATGGCCAATCCAAGAGTATATCAGACCATTCTCGTGCATTTAAATGTTTTGATAGGTAACCCCCCAATAGTGCAAGTGCAAGTGGTAACCCATCGCATTTCTTTGCAAGCTTTCTGCCAAGTTTCTCAAACTCATCCACATCATGTATGACGGACCTTTTGTATGATGGTAAGGCTTTGCTACTTAAAAGTTCCCAGCTTTTTTCTTCATCAAGCTTCTTCAAAGGATGAACGTGGGTTGGTATTTGAACATGATTTGCAATGTCTTTTCGTGTGGTTATAAGTATTCTACTACCATTGGCTGCATCTGGAGAGGCTCTAATGCTTCTGTTTAATTGCTCCCATGTATCTGTTTCCCACACATCATCAAGAACCACTAAGCATTTTGTTTGCAACAAGAAATCATGGATCTTTTGTCCCACCTCATACTCATTCAATTTATCAATTGACTCGTCTGTACTCCCTATAATTTGTTTCATAATTTCCTTGAGTAAATCAGTGCCTTTGTATTTTTGAGATACAGTAACCCAAGCAGTTTTGCCGAAGTGTTCTTGGACTCTACATGACATGAAGACTTTCTTAGCAAGTGCTGTTTTTCCTGCCCCACCCATAGCAACTATGGAGATAGCACTAAGACTCTTCTCTGTGTCAACTAATTTCTCCACTATTTCTTCGTAGTCACCCTCAAAGCCAACAAGTAAAATTTCTTCATAGTTTTGATAGTTAGGATAATCTTGTTGGAACTCATCATCAACATGAACATTTTCTATTGGCACATTCCCCAAATCAACTATTTCCAGGCGCTTTGCACTTTCAACTATCTCAGAGATTTTCCTTTTGATGTGTTCAATTTCAACACCAACATTGAGAAGGGTAGTCAAATCACTTGGTAGGCGAGCATACCTTGCAATGGCGCCCATGAATCCCTTCTTGAGCCGGTTTCTCTTCTGCATGTGATCCACCGCTTCAATGGCATTGTCAGCCTCATACCCCACATCTCTGATCTGGCTGACCAAGACAACAATATCTTCATCTCTGAGCCTCCGCTTGCCGTCGGCATCTCTAAGGAAGCCTTGGAGCCGCTTGAGCTCATCTTTTAGGGACTCCACTTCAAGGGTGACTCCACACAGGAGTGTGGTCTCCTGAATTGCAAGTGTGTTGACATTGCTGAGCACAATGCTATAGGCCGACTCAGCCATTAGTAACTCCTCCTTGTTGTCTCTGGCTCTCAGACCGATCAGAGATAAGTGGATAGAAGAATGCAGATGTGTGTGGCTTAGGATGGCATGGTGTTTGGCTTCTTATTGCTACTTGTTTCCAGCTCGATGACAGAGAAGAGAGCAGAGCATATAGTATATGAAAGATTGGATCTGAGAAAGGAGCATGGCAACAATGCTTTGTTCTCCCGCAGCTGGAACTTTAGGAACCAACCGATATATTATTTTTTAGAATGGAATCTTTCTTTACTGCCACATGACTGCAAGAATAATTAATAAGCAAATTAAAGCAAAAAAGCTCCGCTCCATGTGGCCACGCTTGAGATGGGCAAAAGCTCTTTAATACTCTGTAGTTTAATTAATCTGCAGTGCAAAGTTGAGTTGGCCCCTCCTGACGATCTTATATTGTACTCGTATATTAGTAGAGGATGTAAACTGTCCAGTTAAACAGAGAGCATTTCTTCAGTGGAAGTAAAAGCATGAACCTGGCAACCCGAGGGCAGGACATTTCTTTAGTAGAGGACCCTCCTGAAGTAGAAGAATCTAGCTAGACATGTATTTGTTTGTGATCCTGATATGTTCATTGGACAATCTTTTTTTTTTTGTAGAGGGCAGGACATTCAGCTTTGTATGGTGTTTTCTGTATTCTGAATGTGTAGCAAAACTCTGGACATTGTATCCTTCCGTATATACAGACTTGAAGAGAAATAGGTGGCTTTTCAGATATTGAAAACGTACGTGGTGCAGTTGATTATTAATAAAAAATCCAGCAACAAGTCTCCTTTTCGAAAAGTAAAGCCGTATGCATCTTTCTGATGCAGAGGCTGGGGTAAAACCCTTTTTCGAAAAAAAACGTGGTGCAGTTGATTAACGATGCCGAGCAGAAGCGGTGTGAAAGGTTTTCAGAGTTGTCTCAGCTGATCAGACCCAAACAAGCATAAGCACCGGTAATTAATTAACCACGATTCAGGGTACGCAGTACTCTGGGGTGGTACGTTCCCTTGGTCCGTGGAAGCAAATGTCAAGCCGCTTGTACTGAATACATAATTCAAATATCTCCCGCAACCGAGGGAACAGAAAAGCAAAATGTCCAACATTTGAGTACACGTACAACTTTGTATTGAGTGGAACCACGAACATGGCTAAATGATGCAGTCGCTCACTTGTGTAGATTTCAGTCCATACTGTGCTAGCAAAACAACCACAATCAAATCATCAAAAATAGATAGAGGTACATGCTCCGTTTTCATCTTTACTTTTTTTTCTAAAATATGCGCGAGTGTGCAGATATCATCGATTGATCCAGGACAGGCAACACTGATCTGTACGTATACAGATACGTCAGGAAGGATATGTGCAGAACAGCAGAAGTAGCACATCCTGCAGAACGGGAAGGGGAAGAGGATACATATCCGGATTAGGAACTTACAGTTTAACAATTAAACAGTTTTTCTGTGTGTAATTTAACTGGAAGATTTGCAGTATTTTCAGCGCCCTCCCCCTTTAGGCATCATGTCACTCATCTGACCTAGGTATTGAGTCCTCCAATCTTGATTCTCTTATTTGTTTCATGCTTCTATCCTATATTTAATTGATCAATATACTATGTATGATTTCTGGTTAAATTGTCATGGTTCTATCAGATGTGTAACTGATCAATCATGTGCCAACAAATTGAAGTCAGTCATGTGATGTACTGATGTCGCCACCCCTTTTCTACGATCCCGCCAGCTACATGCACTTGGCTAAAAATTCCTTCGCCACTGCTGCACAACCATACCCTCTGCATCAAGTCGTCGTCCATAGATTGCATCTTACCATCGAAGTCGACCGACTGAAGTGAGAGTCGCCAAAACCCAAAGTGGAGCTTTTCAGCAGGATCCCACAACCATGCTAGTACGAGCCGCCGGCAGCAGCCACCAGGTCTGGAGAAGAAACATCCCCAAGATCTATTGGTAGTCACTGCAATTTGCATCTCGAGAGGCTAGTTGTTTCTGCTAAGGTCAGATACTATTGTGGGAAAGACGAGTTGGCAAGGGCTACTAGCAGGAGAGCAGTCAAACGGTGCCGAGCCTGGGCTAGTAGAGTGCCAGCCCGAGGCATCACTGGCAAGACCTCGTGCCGCAACGCCAGTCATCTAGTGCACCAACCCCTACCACCAGATCCACGCGGATCCAGGTCCATCTCCCATGTGGCGCGTGAGGTCGAGGGAGCTGAGCCACACAGTCAGATCTTCGCAGATGCATGCACGGAGCGCCAGCAGAGCCTCACCGGCGAGCCGCCGCCACCAAGCAGGGCGTCGTCAACATGAGCCAACGACGAGGAGCAACCACGGGGTCTGTGAGCAGGTGTGCCGCCGCCAAAGCAGCCATTGTGTGCAGATCTGGCATAGGAGCCAAGGGACGGGGAGGGAGCTACGAACGTGGGCGATGGACCCGCCGCCGCCGGCACCTATTGGGGACTTTGCTTAGAGGCGAAAGCAGGCGACGGCGAGGGGAGAAGGAGCGAGGGGGAGCTACAACTAGTGTGGAAGTATGTGTTGCCCTAACCCCCTTGTGCGAGCGACGCGGGGGCCTGCGCGAGTCCAATCCAGAAAGCACTTTGGCCGGTTCTTTTAGCAGCTTAAAAAATAAGCCGCCTCCTTCAGGGCTTACCCGATCCTATCTTATTCATTGGGGCTTCTAAACTACTTATGGGATAGAATTTAGAAGTCTCAACAAATTTGAAGATTGGCTTCTTTTTTAAACCCGGAAGAGGCAACATATTTTTAAGCCACCCAAAAGAACTGACCCTTAAATAATAGTATTAGAAACGAATTTCCATTTACTATTTTTTTTAGATAAATAGGAAAAAATATGGAACAAAAAACTTAAGAACAAATGGATCTAAAATTGCATGGTCACATGATTTTAAGGTGTAGTTACGGTAGGCAGCAGTTTTGGTAGGAAGTAATAACGTGGTTTTAGGCTACAGTTTTGGTAGGAAGCAAACTCAAATCAAAGACCATGTTATGTGGAAAGGACCCATCAAAATCAGCTAATTAACTCTCTAATCCAACGGCTCTAGCCTGGTCTGATGCCTGTGTGATGGGACGCTAGGCATCAGTAGTCTGATGCCTGATAGTTGGCAATAAAATGAAAACTAGCACGATGGTGACATTTTTTTCATTTGCCTGACCCGCACCCACAAGCGGGGTGCGAACCCTAGGCTTTCACCGCCGCCAGCCTCCTCTTCCTCGCCACCGCCGGCGCGCGCCGCCGGCAAAGCCTGGTCGGCGTAGGCGGCATCGGGGCCTCCTTCCTCCTTGGCGCCTCCTTGCAGTGCAGTATGCGGGGCGCTTCCTGGGGACGCCGTGCTCGCGCAGGGTGCGGCGGAGGCGCCGCGGTCAGCCGTGCCAACGGCGCGGGCAGCCATGAATGCGGCGGTGGCTACGTCACCTCGCCCGGCCGTGGAGCGGTGGGGGTCGCGAGCGGGAAGTGCGGGCATCCAAGGTGACCGGCGGATCTAGCGGCGGTGGCTGTCGTGGCAAGGTAGGGCGCAGGGGGTGAGTAGCGTCCTGAAGGGCGTGTACAATTCGGCGGCTGCGGCAAGTTCGGGCGGTGGCGTGTCGACGCGTCTCCGGCCAGATCCGATGGTCTCTGGTGGCGGCGGGCGGTGCGGGGTGGCGGCGGAGGTCCAGCGGGGGCTCTATGTGTTGTCGCTTGTAGCGGCATGGCAGCAACCACGCGATCGACCTAGTCAGCGCGCGGCGACAATGGGACATGCTCCGGCGCCTGTTCGTCTGCGATTGACTTGGGTGAGCTTTCCTTTCTTCTCAGATTCCTGTATAGGCTTGACTGGAAGGGGTGGCTCCATCGCGCGGCCTTGGTGCACACGAGGGTTTGCTGGAGGTGGCAGGGGACTCCGAGATAGGGGTAGGGTGCCCTCTCTGTTGCATCCGGCGGTTACACCGTGTGGCTGCCGAAGTTCTGCTAGCCCAGTCTGCCCTTCGCGGCCACCAACCCTGCCAAGGTGTCCGCTTTGGGGTGGAAGGGGGGGGGGTCTTCTGCTTCTTTCCGGTTGGCCGCTTCGGAATGGTGTATCCTTGGACGAGGGGTGGGATCGGATCTACGGCGGCGGTCCTTTGGTT